GTCAGATTAACCCATAATCCAATAGGCTAATGTAGTTTGCCCCTGTTTAGCTCCTCAGAAATAACCTGAATTGAGGCATCTCAGCATATCAGATATTCAAAGAAGACTAACATGGTGTGAATAGGGAAGGAACTTTCCCAGAGGCCAAGTTTTATAGTTAATCTGCAGAGATCAGTAACATTAGACTTTACTGTTTTGAGTGTCTCCTTGAGTAAGTGACAAACTTTCTTGGGACTCTCTGCCCCAAGTCTCTGGTGGTCAGCAATCTGCATTGGGTCAAGCACATTTGAAAGGTACGTGTTATTTTAGGAGCCCAAGGAAGCTGGCTTGTGTGCATTTTGCTTTTGACTGTACAAACTGTAGTTTTGTACTGTGTAAAAATCAACACTGAAATTGCTGTTATGAGAAATAGTGATTATATTAAATTCTCATGCCAGCTCCCTCTAAATGTTAATCTGTAGTTGTAACCTAGCTACACAATTTTTTTATACATTTGTTTATTTTTATGTGGTGCTGAGGATCGAACCCAGGTCTTTGCATATGCTAGGCTCTACCGCTGAGCCACAACCCCAACCCCATATATCTGGGAAAGATTCTGCCCAGAATATGAATCATAACAGGAAAGCTCTTGGGGTGTCACTGGACTGAAATGTGTTAAGGGATCCTCTGCCCAGGGACACTGAATTATGGGTTGAAAGAGTGCTGAATACTGAGTCAAGGGGCTTGGGTTCCTAGGTTTCACCCAGCATGAGCCTGTCTGTGCAAGGTCAGCCACCCATTTCTCTTCGGGCCTCAGCCTGTGAAGTGGGAATACTGAACTTGATCTCTAATGCTCTCTTTCAGCTCCTAAATCTGATGCTTCCCAAGGGCTGGGGTATTGCATCAGGATCCAACCTGAGGTTTGTGCTGTTTTCAAGGCCCAAAGGAATTACCTTGTCCTTTTTTTCAAGATAGGATGCCTTACCCCACAGAGCCCAATAATTCAGTGAGCTCTCAGTGCTATGAGGTGCTTCTCCACTGGGGACTGAATCTAGATTGTTTGTAGTAACCTAGAAGGACCTTAGAATGATGCCAGGAGATGTAATTTCTATGACCAGCTAATCACCTACTCAAAAAGTTGTCAAGACCCATCCAGTTACAACCTAATTCTGTCTTCAGAATTAGAGAATTTAGAGATTATCTCCTCTTAAAGTATCCCTTTTGAATTCAGGGATTCCCATTATCCTCTTAAGAATCAAACCTATTAACAAGAAAATATATTTTCATTGAATTTAATTATATAAATGTTAATGAGTCATGTCTTCATATTTTAATTTAAAAACATTTAAAAAATTAGATTGCATTTGTTGTTCTTTGCTTTCTCCCTAATATAGGTTCTGTTATTTTTCAGTTTTGTTTTAGGAAAATTGATTACAGTCATTTTTTGACACTGGTAATCTCTAATTTCTGAGCAAATTAGAAGTTAGTATCTGCAAAAGAAAAGCTGATCTGAGTGATTATTCTTTCATCTTTGCATCATTGTATTCATTATTATGCACACTATCTACGTGTGTGTGTGTGTGGGGGGGGAGGGGTAAGAGAGAGAGATGCTGGGGATCATACCCAGGGATTTACACATGCTGGGCAAGTGCTGTACCATTGAACCACATCCCCACTCTTAACCCTTTGGGTTTGGTAACAGCTTTACCCTACTAAGCAGTTCTTCATAGGGCATACCTTTGATGACAGACTCTGTGGTCTTTCCAAGATTCTGAATGGTACTGCCACTGCTTTGTAGGATTGAGGTTATTGATAGCAACAGTGGGCTCTAGGGGATGGCCACCAAGAACTGTGGGGGGTGGACATTGCAGATTTGGTTGTTTCCATGGATGGCCCTCGAGGGAACTCAGTACTTGCAGTAATTGTCTGTACCACATTCTAATTACTAAGGGTATTGTCCTAGTCCATTTGGGCTGTGATAACAAAATGCCATAAACTGAGTGGCTTATAAACAACAAAAATTAATTTCTTACAGTTCTGAGGGCTTGAATGTATAAGATCAAAGCAACAGCAGATTGGGGGTCTGATGAGGGGCTAAAAGGTCTCTCTCATAGGAGTTCATACAAATGCTTCATAGAAACTGTCTTCTTTCTGTGTCTTCACCTGGTAAAAGGGATGAATTAGCTCTTTGGGCTCTCTTGTATAAGAGCACTGCTCCTATGATGAGAGCCTCTGCCTTCTTGACCCAATCATTTCCCAAAAGCTTCCACTTCCTACACCACCAGCATTAGAGCAGTAGGTTTCAAGGTGGAATTTTGGGGGAACATAAACATTTATTTGGTCCATGGCAGGTGTAAATGTTTTTAAAAAGCACCTGTTAAGCACCTGGCCTCTCTAAGCTTTCATGATCTTATAGCAGTGCATATGGATAGGAGTAGAAATATAKGAAAAAGAGAAGAAATAATGCAGGTGAAATTTGATAAAAATCAATCAAGTCTAATCAAGAAAAAAGCAAGAATACAAAAATCAATATCAGTAGAAAGGGAGCTATCAGAGTAACCCTACAGATGCTAAAAATATATTAAGGTAATATTACTATTGTATACCAACATATGCGATAGCTTACATAATATGGTCTATATTAGAGAAGAATCCATGTGCTGAGAACAAAGTGTATTCAGTCATTGATGGATGAAATATTCTATATGTGTCTGTTAGTCTTAATTATCAATTGTATTTTTTACTTCTGTAGCTTCTTTATTTAGTTTTTGTTTGGAGCATCTATCCAATAGTGACAAAGGCATGTTAAAGTCATCCAGGATTATTGTGTCGTGGTTTATTTGATTCTTGAAATTGAGAAGGGTTTGTTTGATGTACATAAATGCTCCATTGTTTGGGGCATAAATATTTGTGATTGTCATGTCTTGTTGGTGTATAATTCCCTTAAGCAGTATGAAATGGCCTTCTTTGTCCTTTCTGATTAACTTTGGCTTAAAGTCCACTTAATCTAATCTGATTGCCCAAACCCATTTTTTTTTTTTTTTTTTTTTTGGACTGGGGATTGAACTCAGGGGCATTCCATCACTGAGTCACATCCCCAGCCCTATTTTGTATTTTATTTAGAGACAGGGTCTCACTGATTTGCTTAGTGCCTCGCTTTTGCTGAGGCTGGCTTTGAACTCATGATTCTTCTGCCTCAGCCTCCCGAGCCACTGGGATTACAGGTGTGCACTACCATGCCCAGCTCCAAGCCCATTTTAAATATAGGCCTACTGTCTTTCTTCTGGCCTTAGTACTCTGACTAATGAGTTTGTTAATTTACTTGGCCCTGCCCACACTGTCCAAGTTTTATTCAGTACAAGTTGTGTGTTGGGCACTGTGCTGTATGTTGGGGCTTGAGTACTGGTAAGACACATGTAGTCCCTACTGTTCTCTAGCTTTATTTTTTATCACACGGAACCTCTGCCATTCCCAGTTTCTTTTATGCTTTTGCAGCTGTTCTTTTCTCTTCTGGTGTGACTTTTTTTTTTTTTTTAAACTTTTCTGCCTAGAGAATTTTCTTTTACCTTTTTAACTAGCTGAGGTTTTATCCTAATTTTCATTATCTCAAGTAGAGTGAGGTAGGGCTTCCTCAGTGATCTCTTAAAACTTACCTATGTCCTTCTATGGCTTTTCCTCTGAAGAGTTTTTGTTGTGTATGTGTGCGTGCGAGAGAGAGCCTGTGTAGGTATGCATGCACCAGGTATACAGCAACAAACAGATGCCTCTCCTGCTAGGTTGTAATCTCAGTAAGGACCAGGAGCTATGCTGCTTACCCAGAGCTTCTCCAGCTTTGTGCCTTCAAAATGCTGAATAAGTGAGTAATAAGAAGCTATCAGATGAACTTATTTTTGCAGGGCACTATGGGGGTTATAAATAAAAAAAGAACTAGTCTTCCTTCAAGGCCCTAACCTTGTAGCCAGCRAGATAAGAAATAGATGAGTAGACTGCAAGGCAGGTTGGGATCAGTTTTATCACGAGTGAATACTTGAATTTAAAGGGAGAGATGAATTCTCACAAAAAATATTCTGGTAAGTTTACAGATGACGGTGTTTTCTTCTTGTTTATGACAGGGATACATTGTGAGGGATACAAATGATGATAAAATATGGAACCTGATGTAGAATTTTACAACTCAAGTAGAGCCTTACAACAGGGATTAGCAATCTGTAGCCTACAGGCTAAATCTAGGCCATGAACTAAGTTATTCTTACACTTTTTAAATTGTTGGGAGGAAAAAGATTTTGATGTGAGAAAATTAATATGAAGTTGAGATTTTAGTGTGCATTATTAAATTCTGTAGGAACACAGTCGCATTCATTTGTTCACATATCATCTATGACTGCTTGCACTGCAGCAGCAGCAGAATATTTTTAACAATGATTGATTTGCTATGTCTGGCCCTTTACAGAACCAGTCTGCTGACTGTTGGGTTAGAGAAGGTAAAGATTCAAATAAAGTAGAGAAGAGGAGAAATGACATTTTTATTGAGAATGGTGGCACACACCTATAATCTGAGCTACTCAGAAGCCTTGGGAATCACAAGGCCAGCCTGGGCAACTTAGTGAGAGCCTGTCTCAAAAATTAACTAATTAATTAACAGGGCTGGAGATTGACCTGGATTTAATCCCCAGTACTGTCCAAGAAAAGGGTGGGGGGAACAGAGAATATTGGCAGTTGTATAAAAGCTTTAGAACTCATATGATGATCAAATTTAGCCCTCTTATTTTGCAAAATAAGCAGAAGATCAAAAATTGTGTCAAAGTCCACAGGGCTCACAAGTGGCAATGTTACACTGGAATGAATGGTGCAGAAGCTTTCAGGGCTGTAGAGGATGATAAGATTATTGCTGAGGTAGGGCTGCATCATGAATGGGCTTGCCCTTGAAAAATGAGAGCTGAGGAACAAAATAAGAACAGGCTTCTTTTCTGACTTTGAATGTAAAGTTTCTTTTTCTTTTTTTCTTTCTCTTGTATTTCTAGAAGGCTTTTGAGCCCTACTTGGAGATTTTGGAAGTATACTCCACAAAAGCCAAGAATTATGTAAATGGGCATTGCACCAAATATGAGCCCTGGCAGCTAATTGCATGGAGTGTCGCATGGACCCTGTTGATAGTCTGGGTGTACGAGTTTATTTTCCAGCCAGAGAGTGAGTATACTGTTCCTTCTGTAAAGGTATAGTGGAGTGTCACTAGCTGTGGAAGTCATGGCTGATGGGTTTGGACTAATTCTTGACTTCTGGTTCAGTTCCAGTTTTTAATTTTTTTTTAAATGGAGAGTGATAGATTGTTTCCTGGTTGGTAAAGGAAACCAAATAGGATTTTTGGGTAACCATTACTGTTTATATTGATTTTTTTTTTTTTTGCATTTGTACCTCTAGCCCCTGGCAACCATCATTCTGTATACTTTTCTTTTAAAATAGTATATTTATGAAACCAGACTAAATTTAGAGCTTTTTATATTTCTTTGCTATAATTAGTATTAATCTTAGGTATGCTTTAAAAATTTTTGTTAATTTGTTTTAATTAACAAACAAAAATCATATCTATTGTGTATCACATGCTGTATTGAACTATGTATACATTGTGGAATGGCTAAATTGAGCTAGTTAACATAGCCATTACCTAACTCTTTGCATTTTTTTACAGTTAGATATCTACTTGCATTTTCAGTTTTGCAGCTCACTGTGCCAGGCATGTAACTTAACTGAGGTACAGCCTTCTGCACCAGGTATTTACTTACATCCTTTTTATGTTTAAAAGGGAATGTACCCTTGCATTCCATGAGAAAAGTTAATGGCAGTATATTAATAAGTTGTGCCATCTAAATCTTTGTGGGCTGAATTCCAAGCCAAAGTTGTTTTGTTTTTATTTGTTTTTGTGTTTTGGTACCAGAGACTAAACCCAGAGGTGCTTAAACACATTTGTGCTGAGCCACCTACTCAGTGTTTCTTATATTTTATTTTATGACAGGGCCTTGCTAAGTTGCTTAGGACCTCACTAAGTTGCTGAGGCTGGCTTTGAATTCGTGATCCTCCTGCTTCAGCCTCCCAAGCCACTGGGATTACAAGCTTGTGTCACCATACCTGGCTGTTTTGTTTTTAATAATACATATTTTTCTTTTTATAAAAATAGTTCATGTTTATTGTAGGAAATCTAGATATATGAATAAGCCATAGGAACAAACTTAAAATCTTGCTACCAAAGGATACCACTATTTGTATCTTTTTCTATGTCTAATTTCAATCAGGTTAACCCATACAAAAGGTAGTTTTTATGTCAAAAATTGTTGAACACTAATAGTTTTATACTCCTTTACACATACACACAAAAGCAGTTATTATTTTGTAAATTCCACATTGAATTTGAGATGCAGATCATAATATCTTTCCTCCAAAGATTCGGGATAATTTTAATGGAATTGAGGGGGTTTTATTTCCCCCTTAGCACCTTGATAAGGTAGAAATATGCTACCTATTGCTAAACAATCAAGTTATTTTTAGTGTRTTGCACTGAGGAGTCTAAAATCTGGACTCATATCAAATTTGGCTGATTTTTACACTCTGCATTCCTTTCTGCGGGGGAGACAGTTGTTCTGGAACCTCAGGGTGGAGACTAGTGAAGGTAAGAAGTGGGAGCAACAAGGATCTGAGCAGAGGTCAGCCGTTCTGGAAGGCACAGTCTTCCTAATTCTCTGTGGTAATCAGTCATAGCTATGCCTCCATACTGTAGTGTTGATTCTAACTGTGGGATTGTCCATAGGACATTAATGGAAACCAGTTTTATGGGGGGTCTTTAGCCTGGCTTCCTCACAATCAAATGGGCATAATATTACCTGCCCTAATTAGTCACAGGTAATATGAGCATCATTTGTGTGAAAGGAATTTGTAAACTGTCAAGAGCCAAACATTGTTATTCTTACATTGCCACTTCTTATTTTAGCTTAAAAAATTCTTAATAAAATTCTTTCTTAAAAATTGACAAAAATTAGGGCTGGAGTTGTGGCTTAGTGGCAAAGCACTTGCCTCGCACTTGTGAGGCACTGGATTTGATCCTCAGCACCACATAAAAATAAACAAAGATATTGTGTTCATCTATAAACTAAAAAATTTAAAAATATTTTTAAAAATTGACAAATTATATTTGTGATGTACAAAGTGATATTTTGAAATATGTATACATTGTGGAATGGCTAAGTCAAACTAAACATACACTTTTTCTCCCATGCCTTTTTTGTGATGAGAACACTTAAAATCTACTCTCTAGCAATTTTCAAGTATATAATACGTTGTTATTTACTGAACTCACCGTGCTGTTAATGAATCTCTTGAAGTTATTCCTCCTGTCTGACTAGAATTTTGTATCCCTTGACCAGCATCTCCTCAAATCTCACTTCCCAACCATCCTTGGTAACCACCACTAAAAAGTTTTGTTTACTTTTCTTTCTGTACCTCCAGGGACTTTACTTCTGAGGTGATCGCTTAAATTCACACGATATTTCACTTTAAATTTCCCCATTATTATGCTGTATCCATTCCTTTTGCTCTGTCCCTTTTTTTCCTTACAACTTTCACAGAAGTAGTTTATTCTTTTACTTTCCTCTGTGGGCACATTACTATACTTAAGGAAGGCTGGCCCAGTCTGCTGATTTTTAGATAATTTTCTACCTCATTAATTAATTAGTTAATTCATCTGTTAAAGAAGCAGTTCTGAGTCTTTATAAGTAACATCGTTAAAGTTGAATAAGCTGGGTACAGTGGTGCCCACATGTAATTCCAGGAACTCAGGAGGCTGAGAAAGAAAAAGAGTTAAATAACAAGCAGCTTAAGAATCCCACTTTGTTATTATTATTTGATAATATTTAAAATGTGCTTGTGAAGAATTTTTAATAATGTAGAAAATGCTCACAGTGAGAAGATGATGTGGTTACATAAAGAAGGCCTCGGTTGTGTATTACAGTGTGTAGAACTTAGGACTGGAAGGAAATGCTCTGAAATTCACACAGAAAAGTAACTACAAATTAATGGTTTTAGTTCCTTTGTCTTACTATTCAGACTGTGCCTTGGTGACTGGTTTTGTCCCAGGCATCTATCATCTGTTGATGATAGAGGGAGGTGGAAAGACAGGGAATGGTCTGAGCAAAAACAGAAGCCAAAACAACTAGCAGAGCTGCAAGCTGTCACGTAATAAAATACGAGAAGAGGGAGGTCGCTCTCCATGGTAGTGGAATGGAGAGCGAGTGGGAATGCCCAGGTCTCCTAGAAATGCAGGAAGTTCATGCCTGGATAACAGCTGGGTCTAGATTATTACAGTCTGATTTGGGATAACAGAAAATTCCTACTGTGCATTTGAAGTAGCATAGATTCCTGGAAGTTSTGGACTTAAAAAATGAAGACTTCAGTTAAATCCCTGTTGTCATTGATCTCATCTGTGGCCTTGAGCTAGTGCTCAAGCTGGATCTTCGGTGCCTTTTTTTCTATTGGATGGTGTGTAAAACCTTTTAGGCCAACTTCAGAATATTGTTGTCAGTCAGTTGAGACATTTTCAAATGTGAATATATTAGAAGGCATATCTGTCTATTTAGATRCCTGCAATGTATTTGTAATTATTATAATTGACAAAATCAGATTTCTGTGTTTATCCTTTATATACTGCCTGAATATATGGACTTTGGTTTCTATGATTTTCAGGCTCTTTTTAGATCCAAAAATTTTTGCTAGGATCTGTGTTGGTTGAGAGACTGGAGCATAGATCCAGAAAACAAAAACAAAAACACAAACATGCTCAGCCATTTGGTTCAGGGAAAGGAAGAGAATTGTTGGTCATCTGTGGAAACCCTGGGAAAGTCAAGAACTCTGAGAAGAATACATCTAACATTTAACTGAGCAATTCTGCTTCTGAGTCTATCCTGTAGATATTCTTGTTTGTATGCACTGTGGTAAATGTTACAAAGTTAGTTGTTTTAGCCTGATTTGTAATAGTATTATTAGAAATGATCTATATATCTGTCAGTGGAAGGTTAAACAGATCATGGTACATTCATATAGAGGGATAATTTGCAGTTATAAAAATGAACAAGTGAGGTAGCACTGATCTTTTGTCTTTCTTTCTTTTTTTCATTGCAGTACTAGGGATTAAACCCAGAGGTACTATTCCACTGAGCTATGTCCCCAGTCCTTTTTATTTTTTGAGACAGGTTCTCTCTTGCCAATACTAGCCTTGAACTGGTGCTCTTCCTGCCTCAGCCTCCCATGTAGCTGGGATGACTGACATGGAAAAACAAGTCTCATAAGGTGGTAGACGGTTACCTTTTGTGTAATAAGGGCAACAGATAAGAAGATGCCTTTTTTTCTGGTACTGGGAGTTGAGTCCAGTGCCTCATGCATACTAGGCAGGCACCCCACTGGGCTATGCCCCCAGCCCTTTSTTTCTTTTCTTTTGAGACAGGGTCTTGCTAAGTTGCTCAGACTAGCCTGGAACTTGTGATTCTCCTGCCTTAGTCTTCCTGATTAGCTTGGATTACAGGTGTGCACCACCATACTGGCTAGGAATGTACCTTTGCTTTTACTTCATATGTGTAAAGAAACCATTGAAACATAGGCTGGAAACTAATAGGGCAAGATGAGGCCTGGAAGACAAATACAAGAAAAAAACTTTCATTGTAAGTATGTTTAAATTTTTGACTATGTAAAACTGAATTTAAAAGTTTTTTTTTTTTTTTGGTAATAAAAAAATTCTAGGGCTGGGGATGTGGCTCAAGCGGTAGCGYGCTCGCCTGGCATGCRTGCGGCCCRGGTTCGATCCTCAGCACCACATACCAACAAAGATGTTGTGTCCGCCGAGAACTAAAAAATAAATATTAAAAATTCTCTCTCTCTCTCCCCTCTCTCACTCTCTCTTAAAAAAAAATTCCATAATTCATAGGCAAGTGAGGTTGTGAGAGACACATTGAATAATTGCTCTCTTGGTCATATCTATGAAAATTTATTTGACTAATTTTCTTCTTATAGGTTTATGGTCACGCCTCAAGAAGAAATTTTTTAAGCTTACCAGGAAGATGCCATTTATTGGTCGCAAGGTAAGTGAACTTTCCTTAGGTCTTTTCTCACCCCTCAATAATCATACTTCTTTCTGTTTTCGTTAGATTCTTAAGGTGGAGGGGTGATTCTGTTCCTTACCTCCAGGGAAGACTTGGTGGCAGTATCTGGAGACAGTTTTAGATTGTCACAACTTTGTGGCATGGTATTGGCATCTAGTGGATAGAGGCCAGGTATGCTGTGACATATCCTGCAGTGTACAGGACACACCACAGCAGAGATTCTCTGGCTCCAGATGTCAAAAGGGATGTCAGGGTGGTGGCACATGCTTATAATCTAGCTGCTCAGGAGGCTGAGGCAGAAGAGTCTCAAATTCAAGGTTATCCTGGCCAACTTAGTGAGACCCTAATCTCTAAACAAAAGTTTAAAAAGGGCTAGTGTATAGATCATGAGGATACAGATCAGGAGTAGAACACTTGCCTACAAGAGAGTCTGAGTTTAATCTCTAGTGGAAAAAAAAAAAAAGTCAAAAGGGGACAAGGTTGAGAAACCTTAACTTAACACTTTCTCCAACATATTTGGCTATAGGAGGGATGATGAGAGGCCTGTTCCAGAAGAATTTGAAAATAGAAACCCTGAAGTGTTACTGAGCTTTAGAACATCATTTGGCAGGGCTGCGTTGGACATTTATCTAGGGGTTAGATTGGGATTGGCACACTTCTATAAAGGCCTACCTAGGAAGCATTTTAGACTCTGCAGGCCATACTGTGTTGCAGTAGGAGGACACAGGTTAAGGAATGAGTCTGGTTGTGTTCTGGGAACACTGTTCACAATTTGGCCTCTGGATGCAGTTTGCTTATCCCAGGTTTAGAAATGTCAAGAGATAACAGCCATTCTCTTGCTCTTTGAACCTGTTTGCCCTCTCCACTGTGTCCTCTCTATCCTCACCCACACTGGGATAAGATATGTTCCTTGGTGTCCTCCTTATCACAGGCAAAGATAAAACTGGGCAGGCCTCTTGCAAGCTCTAAGGAAGGCAGTTGAGGCCTTGCTATTATCATACCCTGCTGTACCTTGCCCCTCACCTTTCCTTTGATTTTTTTCCAACTTTACCTGCCTTCAAGTGTTTTTTCAGTTTATCCTGGGGAGGGGAGAGGCTGGAAGATAGGCTGGCTCACAGAGGTTAGCAGGATTCCCCCTTAGCATTCCCTGCATTTTTTTCCTCTTAGGCTTCTCATTTTCTTCTTCAATTTCAGGATTTTGAGACAAATAAATGCTAGGGTTCCAGAACCCATCTTTGAATTTATAAAATAACAGAATTTGGAGATCCTTGAGATGATCTGGTTACCCTCCATTTTTCAGACACAGATTCTGAGGCTTAAAGGCAAAAAGTTATTTATTTCTTCTGTATGTACACATGCAAGAATCTGTTATTCACTTATGCAACACGTGTTATTGACATTTGCTCAGTGTCATCATGTACTTCCCTGGTGCTGGGGATAGGGTGGTGAACAAGACCAAGTCCTTCCTCCTTGTGGAATTAATAGTTTAGCAGTGACGACAGAAAATAAACAAGTAAACAAGTTCATAACAATTTTATTTTGAAATAAATGAACAGATTAAAATTGGGTAATGTGATAGAGACTCTGAGGCAGGAATTGGAGGTGGGAAAGTGCTTGCTGTGCTTTCTAATATTCCTCTCATTACTGTTTTTAGTCTGCATTCTTTTATTATAGCATCATAGTCCACACAGAAGCTCAGCTTTCCTGGTTTCTTCCTGTTGTGGGGTCACTGTGTGTTCAGCATAATTTTTTATTTACAACTTTTAAAATATTTCCATGTCCATAGATGCCTCGGCATTCCCTGAGAGTGTGGACTCTGCTACCTGCCAGTGCTGACATGGGATGCTATGTAGACATGCTTTAAAGAAGTGTTTTTCCTGTGGTTTCTCGGAGGGCCTAAGAAGATCTTGTATTCTAATCATCCATGACTTGGACTGAGAAAGTCTAAATAGTTTAGAGTGAGATCTTGGAATTAGACTTTAACAAATACATCACTGAAGCTCTAGCACTGTAACATGGCACAAATTGCAACACTTAGCCCCTCCCCAAACTTACCATCAGAGACCTGCCTCTTACTTTGCTCTATTGTTTTTTTTTCCCCTAGCACTTTTCATACGTGGCTTTTCATTTTCTGTCTCTTTGACTAAAAGTACACCTCTTGAGATCAGGAGTGTTTTTTTTTTTTTTTTTTTTTTTTTCTGTTTCCCACTGCCTAAGTTTGTTTTGTTCACTGTGTAACCCTGACCTGCAGCAAATATTTGTTGAACAAATAAGTAAGGGAATGAATGAAAGAAAATGGCTCAGAAGCTGTGGTTGAGAATGGAAAAGAAATAACGTTAACTGATAAATTACTTAGCAGAAAGGCCCTTAGTTCCTCTAGGATTTCAGGATCAGACAGTACAAGCTGTTGACAGCAGCTTGAGGAGGATACAGTTATCTGGCAGCTCCTGAAGTCTTGTGCTTATACATGGGCACTTGAAGGGGCTCTCCAGAGTCCTAATGTGTACTGTGCATGTCTTCTGAAGTTGCTTATTACTTGCACAGTAAGCAAGATCCCTTTAATACAGTGTGGTGGGTTTCTTGACTCTATTTTTTCTTTTTCCATATATGCATTTTAGGCTGCTACCAAGACAGGGACAAAGTCCAAATATTGCATTCTGATTATTGCTGATTTCAGCAACTGCAAACCAAGTAAGGCAGTGGTGATGTCAGCGTGGCAGAGAAAAGGGGTGTAGAAAGAAATTGAGCATATCTTTGACCTGTAGAGAGATGGTTGACTCTTCAAATTTCTAAGAGACTGTTGAATATGCTCAGTAAACCATCAAAATATCACATCTTTTTATGAAAAAAATAACCTGGTTCAGTACTCCTCATGCATTGCTAATTGTTGAGCAGTTGATTGACTGTCTAATAACTGGCATTTGTATACTCTCTATTGCGTCTTCTTGCTAATTTTTTTCTCTCCTTTTTTTTTAAACTTTGTCTTTCTACCTTTAAAGATCCAAGCCAAGCTGAACAAGACTAAGGAGGATATCAACAAGAACATGTCATTCTTGAAAGTGGACAAAGAATATGTGAAAGTTCTCCCCTCCCAGGGTCTGAGCTCATCTGCAGTTCTGGAAAAACTCAAGGAGTACAGCTCTATGGGTAAGATGCTGTTCATGTGTGTGTTGTCTCCTTCCTTACAGATGCTGATTTTGTCATTGTTTAATGTTCATGTTGGTTAAGAGTAACTCATTCTTGCACAGCTAGGTGCAATGGTGCAACCTATACTCTCAGCGACTCAGAAAGCCACATCAGGAGGGTTRCAGTTTCAAAGCTAGCCTCAGCAACTTAGCAAGACGCTTTCTCTGAAATAGAAAGGGCTGGGGATGTAGTTCAGTGGTAGAGCACCTCTGGCTTCAATTCCCTGAATAGCAATTAAAATACAATAGCTGGGTATGGAGGTGCACACATGTAATCCCAGCAGCTTGGAAGGCTAAGGGGCAGGAGGATGGTGAATTCAAAGCCAGCCTTAGCAATGTCAAGGCACTGAGCAACTCAGTGAGACCCTGTCACTAAATAAAATACAAAATAGGGTAGGGATGTGGCTCAGTGGTTGAGTGCCTCTGAGTTCAATCCTCGGTTACCCCCCAACAAATAAATAAATAAATAAATAAAAAATAAAAATAGCTCATCTCTAATCCTTATATTTTCAAGAGGGCCAAATTACATAATTTGAAAATTATTTTTAGATTCATCTTTCATCCATAAAGCAAGCAAATCTCACAGACAGTGGAACTTGGTTTCATTTCTTTCTGGAAGCATAAATAAAACAGATACATTTGTGTTTAAAAAAACAATATATGTAATACAAATGGAACAAAGAATCATATTGAAATTACAAAGTCTCTATGAAGGCATGAAAGAAAATAAAAAAGTCATTCTGATTTCATAGTCAGAAGGTGAACACAGGTCACGTATATCAGATTGGTAAAAGTAGGTATGGTCTTTCTCTCTAACTCTACCTGATGTCTCTGTGTATCTCACAGTTACACAGTGCTTTGTGTGTGTGTGTGTGTGTGTATGCACGTGTGCATGAACATATATGGGAAGGATAAAGACAACAAATAGCTTGAGGTTTAAGAGTGTAACCCCTGGAATCGGCCTGGATTCCTATACTGGTTTTGTCACTTACACAGTAATCCTGGGAGAGTTATTAACCCTCTGTCTGGCCCATTTGCTCCATCTCTACAGTCTCTACTTCCCTGATGATTGTGGGGATTAAATTAGATCATACATAGAAATGTTGTGTGGCATAACCTGGCATGTAGCAGGTGTTCAGTAAATGTTCACAATTATTGCTGCTATTTTTAACACACATTCATGTTTATTATAGAGTAAAATTATATTACAATTACTTTGTTTAAAATATGCTTTTTAATTTGGCTTACTTTTTGATTTATGGAAAAGTAGCAAAGATGATACAGAGATGTCCTGTGTGTCCTTCATCCAGCTTCTCCTGATGTTAATGTTGTACATGACCGTGGCACATTTGTCAAAACTAAAAAATTCACCTGGGGACAGGACTATTATCCAAACTAACATTCCGTGCAATCAGTTTTTCTTTTTCTTTTTTTCTTTATTTTTAGTTGTAGTTGGACACAATACCTTTATTTTATTTATTTATTTTTATGTGGTATTGAGGATCGAACCCAGCATCTGGCATRTGCTAGGCGAGCACTTGACTGCTGAGCCCCAGCCCCCCATTCAATCAGTTTTTCTACAAATGCCCTTTTTTCTACTCTGGAATCCAGTCCAGAATATTATGTTGCGTTTTGACAACTTTACAAATTTCTAATCGATGTGTATTGAATTACTGGTGTTAGATGGTACAGCATTAGATATAGTGCAATATGTGATGGTATAGAGCAGGGTTTAATACCCTGAGACTCTGTTTAAAGATTCACATGATTATGAGGGCTGGTTGCTGCCACCATTCCTTCCTCTTTGGTTTTTAAGTCATGGTTCCTTACCATACTCTCTAACATGGTAAAAGAACAGGAGATAAAGCCACATGTCCTATTCTTAAAAAGCTGGTGACTGTGGGTCTGAAGATACATCTGGTACCCAGCAGTGTCCTCTAAGGAAAGAGTGAGAGTCAAGCCAGTAGTGAGCCAGAGCTTGGCAGATGACCTTAAGAGTGAGGAATTTGTTAGTGTACTTGCTTCTCAGCCTTCTGTCTTGTAAAGCTGAAGGTCTTTGTTTTGTGGGGCCTGTGGCTCTGTGCAGTTTTCAGTTAGTGTGTTTCTGTGAGAGCTGTCTCACTATTCACTTTCAGTAGGGCACAGTCACGCTGTAGCAAAAAAGGACCCGAGACACCCACATCAGCAGATGTGTTGGTATAAGGTGGAATGTCTCTGGAGAGCACCAAAGACAGGAAGTGGGAAGTCCTACCCTCATTCTGATCCCCCTTTTAACCAGCCTCATCTCGGGGTGACTGTGCTCCTCATCTTGAATGCTTGGCATATGCTGCTGGAAACAGGAGGCTGCTTCTCTGTGGGTTTCCAGGTTTGTAGAAGAAAGGGCCCTGAGGCCAGATGCTCGCCGCTTGTCCCTCCTCATGGCCCGTGCTCGTGTGGCTCCAGCTCCGAGGATAGTGTCCTGAGAGTTCACACTTTTGTGTTGTTCTGCCGACCTACCCACAGCAGTACTTACACTTGTGACTGGACAGGAAGGTAGGGAAGGAGGGTTTGTTTACAGATAACAGTCACTCTAAAGCCATACAGAGAACAGAGAATAAGTATAGGTAGCTTTTCTGCTGAGAAGGGGCTGAGGAAGGGGGCAGCATTATCACTAGACTGTCTGAACAAGTTTTTTCCTTTCTTAATTAAGTATAAGAATGACATGTGTCTTCACCCAACTTTTGTTTTCTCCTGTGCCCAGAGGGGTTTCTGCGTATTTGCTCTTTTAGAACCTAGCTGTCTTCCCTGGGCACTGCCTGCTGATCGAGTGACCTTGACTTTCTCCACAGATGTCTTCTGGCAAGAAGGAAGAGCCTCAGGAGCAGTCTACAGTGGGGAGGAGAAGCTCACGGAGCTGCTTGTGCAGGTGAAGATGCAGCTCTAGGGCCTGGGTGCTGTTCTGTGTACTTGACCTCATTTTTCTCCTCCTCCTCGTAATTAAATAAACTTAGTTAAGAAAAAGCTGCTTGTTGAATAAAACCACAGAGGTTTAGAAATTTTCTCTTTACACAGACATTCATGAATATGCATAATATTGTTACCTCTTCAGTCTGTAACAAAAAGTAAAATGTTATTTATGTTTCTATGTTTTGGAGAATCGCTATGAAAAAGGCAGAGTACTAGGGAAGGTAGTCCTATCATTTGAGCTTTTAATGGTAGGCCAGATTTGATTTGACAAGAAGACACAGCATAGGGTCATTTAGTCATAATTTCCTCCAATCACACAACCTGAGATGAGCAGTATTCTTACTTATACTTCATATTATTCTCATTCTTTGTTGACTTTAGGATGGTCCTTAGCTTCTTTCATTTCTAATAATTTTTTTCTTTTTAAAATTTATTCATGGTGCTGGGGATTGAACCTAGGGCCTTGTGCAAGCTAGGCAACTGCCCTACCACGAGCCATGTCCCTAGTCCCAGTCAGTTTTATTTATTTATTTTATATGTTTAGGTTTSGATTAAACCCAGGACCTCACACATTCTAGGCAAGTGCTCTAACACTGAGCTAATCCCCAGCCCTAGATTCATCATAACCCTACTTCATCATATAAAGTTAGGATTTGACTGATCTCTAAGGCCTTTGTGTTTGATTACTGTAATTACAAAATTGCACACAATTTACTCAGTGTTACAGTTTTGCTTAGCTATATGTTGCCTATGCTGTAGTCTGTCTTCTATGCTTAAATCTTTCAGTTAGCTCTCCATCTGTCAGATGAAGCCTGGATCTCAAGCATCAGGGAATACACAAGCAGCTCCCTCCTGCTGTTTTAAACACTCCCGATACCTTCCCATGTAAACACTTACCTTCCATTTTTCTTTAATCAATGCACTTGCTCTATTTCAATGTTTTCTTCCACATTTAATTCCTCCTGTTCTAGATGAACCTTACATCTCTCAAGGATCCACTCAATGAACACTTCCAGAGTGCTCAGGTGTTAGTTATGCCCTCCTTAGAGGCCCTTACATTGTGCACGTAAACCCAGTATTGTACTCAGTAATAACTGCAGCTTTGTGCCGGGTGCTCTACGAAATGCTTTACATGGGGTATGTTGTTTAATTATTGCTAGAGCTCTATAAAGTGTGTACGGTGGTTTTCCCCCTTTGCATATGAGGAAAGTCAGTCTCAAGGAGTTATTTGACCTACACAGCTAAAAGTGATAGGCAAAGCTACGATTTCAAACTGCATCTGTTGGTGTCATAGTCTGTACATTTACTACATTTATAATTCTTCCCTTACCACGTTATAAAATCATTTATCCATGTCTGTCTCCTCTGGTATAATTTGATCTTTAGTTGTAGAACATATCTTACCTTTTTTTCCAGCTCCTACCATTGGGTCTAATACTTTGAAACTTTTATTTAGTGCATGATTTTTTGTCCTATAGAGTGCAATAATCTTATCTCACATTTTACACTTCTTTGCAGGCTTATGGAAATTTTGCATGGAGTAACCCACTACATCCAGATATATTCCCAGGACTACGTAAGATCGAGGCAGAAATTGTGCGGATGACTTGTTCCCTGTTCAATGGAGGTCCAGATTCCTGTGGCTGTGTAAGTCTACAAAAGTGACATATACTTAGCTTCGAAGATAATAGTTTATTAAAAATGTTTTATTATGCAAGTAATGTATGGCTATTGTAGAAAGATCTAGATTAAGTGCAGTTTTAAAATGTTACTTRTAATTTAGTAATCCAGAATAGACACAATACTTTTATTTATTTATTTTTATGTGGTGCCAGAGCCTCACACGTGCTAGGCAAGCCCTCTACCACTGAGCTACAGCCCCAGCTCTGGTATATATTCTTTTAGACATTTTTTTCTCTTTACCTGTTTTAAAAAATTTTAAACCTACCTAGAGTTTCTAGCATGTTTAAAGAATATTCCAGATCCACCAAATGTAAATATTTTGCCAAATCTGTTCTCCACTGCTTTCATTCCCTCCCTCTTTCTTTTCAAGCTTAGTCATTGACACACCTACCTACCACCCATTTATCTTAATTCTATTGAACCCTTTAATAGTCCTTTTTTTAAAAAAAAAAAAAAAAGTGTTTTTGTATTTTTTTTATACTTTTATTTTGTTTATGTGGTGCTGAGGATTGAATCTAGTGCCTAGGCAAGCTCTACCACTGAGCCATAACCCCAGCCCCAAGTAGTGTTTTTTTAATTACTATATTAGCATCATAAAAATCAGCATATTCTGGTATTCACTAGTTAACCAAAGTGGTATTCCTGGTATTTCTTTTCATAGCAAAATTCTGAAACTGTTAGGAACTGAACTAATCACAATACAGCAGCAGGCCCTACTGAAGGGGTAATGACTTAGGGGACATGGTGACGTACTTGCACCAGGTGGGTATTCTTCTCACTATTAGACAATGAACTTTTTAAAGTGACCACAAGTTAAATATCCACATAATAATTTGACCTTTTCTAGTAAACTTGAAGATACATATGCCTTGTGACCTAGAAATTCTACTCAGGATAGACTTTAGAAAAATTAGTGCACATGGGTATCAGGATATATGTACATGAGATTATTTGTGATGGCGACAAACTGGAAGTAACTCAAATATCTCAGTTCATTGTAGTTTTTATTCATATTCACATTCAAATTACCCATTTTTGGCCAGTGGAAATATCTTCATTTTGGCTCTTGGGTCCTTTTTCATGATTCAACTAACCAAGTAGCCTTTGAAAACTTCCTTGCAGACTCAGAATCAGCTGTTTCTTCAAGGAGCTCTGGTTTAGTTACAGCTATGTAAAATATTTACATGGTTTCAGAGTCACATTTATAGAATATGACAGATTCTGGAAAAACTTGAACACAACCAAGAAGAAGAAAGAAATAGAAAGTACAAAAGAGAGGCTAAGACATAAGAGGGACAGAGAGAGAAGAGCCAGCACATGTGATTTGGCTGTTTGAGAACAGCCAGAGAAAACAGATGACCTGTAAAGGGAGAACTTGAACAACTGATGTTCTCAGTAGCAACTCATGGGGGCTGTTTGGGTAGTTGAAAGATCCTCTATGAGCTGGAGAATTATTGGAGGTGGATGGTAAGTAGAGAGTTTTATTAATTCCCTCTTTAATCATGGCTAATCTGCTTAGTTGTTCCATTGGGCTTTTGARTTCACTTACTGTACTTTTCATTCTTTGAGAATTATGCTCTTATTTTATGATATTGTTTTTTGCCATACTTGGGATTGAACCCAGGGCTTGTATATGCTAGGCAAGCACTCTTTCTCTGAGTCACATCTCCAGTCTTATTTATTTATTTATTGAGACAGGGTCTTGCTAAGTTGCCCATGTTGACTTAAACCTGCCTTAGCCTTCTGAGTAGCTAGGAATATAGGCATGTGCTACTGTGCCCCATTTGTTTATTTTTGTTTCCTTGTTTTAAATCTGCTTGGTTCTTTAAAGTTCCTTTCCTTGGTTTATAGATTATATGTTGCACATGCATACTTTATGTTCTGCGTGATGATTTTTATATCCATGAGCCTTACCTGTCTTACTCTGCTCCTTTTCACTTTTTATTTCCTTTTATCCATGATTGCTCCCCTCCGTCCATTTGAGTCTCACTCATTTTCCTGGGAACTTCACCTATAGGGATTCTTTGAGCCTAGTTTGAAGTTAGTTCTTGCAGAGAACATTTTGAATTACTTTTGCCAGTTGCTGGGAGGTTACTGAGTATTGTACAGTTCTCAGGTTGGAAATAATTTTGTAGCAAGGAGGTCATGTCAGTTCAGACCACAGACTCACATAAAGCTGTGTTGTCTCAAATTCTAGAGTCTTTTTCTTTCCCTTAGTGTGAGATTGAGAAAGGCAACATCCTTTTGTTCTAGAGGAGTTTGTTTCTCTTGCACCTAAGAGTGTGTGGGTCTTCGCCATCTTCTGTTAGAGCCCTCCTTGGACAGGCCCTCAGATTAGCTCCTGGTCCACAAGCTGTTCATTTGTCTCCTGGGGTTGGTTCCTCCTCAGAAAAAGAGCTAGTTTTGGCAGTCACTTTGTCTTGAAGGATTGTGGATTTCACTTTGTTTTGGAGCTTAGTATATTTCTTTATGTTAACTCAGTGATGGGTGTAATTTTTTTTAGGTGTAGATAGATACAGTACCTTTATTTTATTTATTTTTATGTGGTTCTGAGAATTGAACCAGTACCTCATGTGTGCTAGGCAAGAGCTCTATCACTGAGCTACAACCCCAGTCCTGGATGTATAAAAATTTTTAAAATGTTTTATCTGCCTTTTTACTTATTTCAGTTAGAAAAATTGCTCAGGGTATTAATCTGTGTTGCTGGAAATAGAAATTCCATAATCCCCCCCCCCAACGTGACAGGTCTTTGTATATTTGAAAGCCCCTTTCTTTCTGAATCTTGTCTTTCACATCTTTTCTAAGTGGCCTGGGTATTTGTATTATTTCATGGGTTAACAGCCATTGCAGTCCTTCTCTGAATGCCCTTGGCTATCTCTGGAAGGTGGCATTGATCTTTCAGTCTCTCCTTTTAAAATTTGGGTTCACTAAATTTATCTCAAACTTTTCTCTCTAAATCAGTAGTTTTATCTTTATTCTCAGTAGAGTTTGTTCTGTTTCTTGCTGTTCCTAATGAATTTATTATTTCTGTATCAGTGCCATTTGCTACTTCTGTTTTTTAGGTCTGTAGTTTCATTGCTCAGTCTTTGAACTCTGGTTTTCTTGAATTGCAATCCTGTGGTAGTGTCCTAGAGTGAGAGGCAGCCATAAGGGATTGCCTTCTGTACCTTGGCTTGTTCCTTGAGTAGAGCTTTTATTTTGCATACTGCATACTATCCCACCTCCCCCATTTCATAGGTTGCACAATTGCTGTTTCTTCATCTTGGCTCATCCTGGGGTGACTCTCTTCAGTCTGTTCTGACACACACTGGATGACTTCTTGTCTGCCACTATTTGGTTGGTAGCAGGACTCAGCTAAAGCTTTATTCTTTCTGTTAGAATTTCTAGTCTGTATTTCTGAGATTATGTTATTGTTCTTTCTGGCCATTTGGAAAAGAGCAACTTGCTTTGAGCTTTGATTATTGCTTTAATCCCCCCTGTATCCCTGAAGTCTTCATTCAAAGAGTCAGGCCTGGTGTTCTGTCTCTCCCTGGTTCACTCATTTCTYCTGAGCAGCCGTGTCCAGTATTCACTGATCAGAAGAGAGGGAAGGTCAGGAAGCTCTCTCCATTTGTTTCTTTTTTTTTTTCTTTTAATATTTATTTTTTAGCTGGACCCAGTATCTTTATTTTATGTATTTTTATGTGGTGCTGAGGATCGAACTCAGGGCCTCACACATGCTAGGTGAGCGCTCTATCACTGAGCCACAACCCCCGTCCCTCTCCATTTGTTTCTCTGAAGGTTTTTATAGGCTGTTAATGAGAATTCTCCAGATTTTCTTAACTGCCTAGTACATTTTCCTTGCAGATTAGGAACTATGTTTTGCTATGTAACTCTTTTAATGCTGTGCATGTTTCTTGCTCTCTCTCTCTCTCTCTCTCTCTTTCTCTCATTCACTCACTCTTTTTTTTTCTTCTTTGCTTCCTATTTTATATGTTAAGGGGAGAGGAAACTCGGTGAAGTAATTTCAATTTTCCATTTTAATCCAGAAATACAACCCTAGGAGCTTTTTGTATTGTGACAATTAAACTAAGTCTCTCCCATCATGATCTTTTCTGGTGACTGGGATAGAGACCAGGGGATAGTCTGATTCCCAATCTCTTCTAGTACTTAGACTTCTATAAGATAACTAATTAGCTCCGGCATTATCTGAGTGTCTCTCTCACCCCCAGCTCTTCCTGTCTCCTGTTTCCTTCTCTCCTCCCTTAGTCTCTGCTCTTATTTCTGTTTCTTTCTCTTTATTTTGCTCTGTCTTTCTCTTGAGGAGTCGCTTTTGGTGAAGGAAGAGTTTAGTGTTGAGAAGTAAGAAGCAAGTGAAGGCCAAATGACTGGGCCATCTTTAGACTATTCCTAAGGGTCTTTTACTCTTCTCATTCTTAATTTTTCAACCTTGAAGCTTTCCTTTTATTAACCGTGTTTGCCTCAGCTACTGTGTATGAGAGGTGACTCCATACATTGAAGAAATCTGGTTGTCATGTGGAACATTACTGGCTTATACAAATACATCAGGACCAACTGCGTCTGAAAGAAAATATCTTGTTTTCTTAATATATACGTTAGAGTGAGAGTTTTTATACATGCTGAAAGAAGTTGAATAACATAACAAGTACTTAACTGGCACCTCCATTTTCTTACCTCACAATTAAATATCTGTTTAGATAGAAGTGGGAGAGTAACAGTATTTTTTTTTTTTTATTGATTGTTCAAAACATTACAAAGATTGGGCTGGGGATGTGGCTCAAGCGGTAGCGCACTCGCCTGGCGTGTGTGCGGCCCGGGTTCGATCCTCAGCACCACATACAAACAAAGATGTTGTGTCCGCCGATAACTGAAAAATAAATATTACCAAAAAAAAACCTCTCTTCTCTCTCTCTCTCCCTCTCTCCCTGTCTCTTTAAAAAAAAAAAAAAAAAGTAACAATATTTTTAAAAGCAGAATTTAGGAATCAGAAGTAAAAATTTAGAAGTAGGATTTAGGCATTCTGCTTTCACAGTACTTTGCTTGCCCAACAAAGTAATGATGTTGATTTGATTAGTTATTGATCAAAAAACAGGACACATGAAGTGGGTGAATCGTAATTTGAAAATGTTTTTTGCTTCGTTATTACCAAACCTTAGGAACCTGAAATTGCTGGAGATTGGCTTTGCTGGCACTTCCCTGACTTTCTTCACAGCTGGCTGGCTCCTCACGTGAGATTCTGAGGTTTTGTGCTAGGCCACAGGATGGCCTGCTGATGTGTAGAGCTGGTCTCAACTCTGAGCGCTTTGTCTTCTCCCGCATGGAAATGCAGAGACCTACAAACAAGTGTCCCATGCCCGCTCGCATGTGTTATTCTGCAGATGAATCTCACATGAAGGCTTCCTGAGTCAAAAAATGGCTTAACTTTTCTGAGTTAGTTTTCATATGGTCACTAGGATTCTGTATCCAATGGTATTTTTGTCCTGTATATGGATGGATATTAGGAAATAATCACCCTTTCTCTTTCCATCTTGTATTAAGCTACACTAAATATCAAAACATAGATGGGCTACTACTCACCATCAGATGCTAACATAAGACAATGAATGAATTGTTAGGGACTCAGTTTTCTTAGCTTTGAAAAGAAAAGGCCGAGATGGTATGAATTTTCATAGATGGTAAATCTAAGAAGATATTCTGCTAGCTAAGTGCTGTAGTCTTTTGTTTGTTTGGGAATTATTCATTCTCAGATATTTTTAGAAGATAGCCAAGTGGCTGTGATATGCCTGTGCTGGTCACAGTTTACGGAGATCAAGTCAGGCATCAAGAAATATCAGGAAGAAAAAGCAGGAACCACCCCTAGACCGACCAAAGCAGCTGTGTCCCCATGTCCAGCACCTGGTCCCTCTGCCATTGCCACCGTGCCCAGGAGAAAGGCTGAAGGGGATGTTAAAGGAGATGAAGCCAAGGTGAAGGACGAACCATAGAGAAGATCTGCAGGGTTGTCTGCCAAACCTGCACCTCCTGAGCCGGAGCCCAAGCCTAAAGAGACCCCTGCAGAGAAGGGAGAGAAGGTACCCACAGGGAAAAAGGGAAGAGTGACGCTGGCAAGGACTTGAATAACCCTGCAGAAAGTGGAGATGCTTTGATAACTGTGTATTTCGGGTGACTGTTCAGTTTGAAATACTATTTTTATCAAGTTTTATAAAAATASAGAATTTTGGTTTACTTTTTTTTTTAAGCTATGTTGTTAGCACATAGAACATGTCATTGTGGTTTTTGGGAAAGGAGCATACGTCAGAGACTAGTAGAATGTCTCCAAAGCTGGATTGCTGTGGGGGAAAACATCTTTCCCTGATAATTTTAAAAGACTTCCCCCTGGCTCCCAGGAGGAGGGACTCCCTGATGTTGGCACACAGCGCCTTGGCACAAAGCCTTGTGGTATGGAAAACTCAAATTCATCTTTATATCCTTGTCTCCCTCTCTGCCATTGGCATAGACTTAGCTCTTCTAAACTCAGACGTGTTGGGACCTGCTCCCAACAACTGATTTTACCCGTGTGTAGGGCAATCTGGACTTTCCAGTGATATTATTGAGATTGTGTCCCTCAGAAAAGCAGCAGTTCCTTTTCTGGATTGTGGGTCTTCAGATTAATAATTCTGCCATTTTTATTTCATTTTCTGAAAGTCAGGGTCAGCTCTTGAAAAGTTGTTAACATGTTAATGTGAAATGTCAACCCTCATTCTAAGTTTTCTGTATTCAGACCATCAAATCAAGATTTCATTGGGTTTTATAGTGGCTTTCTGATTTTGATAGTCCATCTAAGAAGGGAGTTTGAAAGTTATATACTGTTAATGATTGTTTGTTCATGTCCTGCCTGAAATACCATGATTCTTTTTGAAAAGTATCTTTAGTAAAGCTGGATACAGTTTGGCTTGGGGGGAAAAAAAAGAAAGAAAAGAAATGTTGACTGAGGGTCTGTTAGGTCTCTCAGCTGATTTCTAGGAATGTAGTTAGGAACAGGTTGGCCTCTATCTTCAGGGCTAACATAAGACATTGAATGAATTGTTAGGGACTCAGTTTTCTTACCTTTGAAAAGAAAAGCCCGAGATGGTATGAATTTTCATAGATGGGGTCTGTAGTCAAGTGAGGAAAATAGAATAAATGAAAAGACTTCTGCATGTTTTTTGAACTCTGGTAAAGAAATTCACCTGTCAGTAGGGCTAAGCTTTGCTTTCAGAAATCTTTTATTTCCCTTAAAAACATTAGGATTTTTGTTTTGCTTTCAGGTAAGTAAAGCAACAAACTTCTAAGTGGAAACTCTGCATTTTTCTATCTTCCAGACTTGTCAAAGCCACAAGTTCACTTTGGAAAGTTCAAATTTCTTTTTTCTGATTTTCTAATGTAATGCATACTTTACTAGACTTGTAACTTCACAACTTCACATTCTTCAACAGGCTTTGAAATTTTAAATTAAAATCAACAATCCTGGGCTGGGTGCAATGGTACATGAGTATAATTCCATTGACTTGAGAGGCTGAGGCAGGAGGATCACAAGTTCGAGTTCAGCCTGGGCAACAGAGCAAGCTTCTGTCTCAAAATAATAATTAAAAAGGGCTGGGAATGTAGCTCAGAGGTGAAGGCACAATCTGCAGTGCCAAACCCCCCAACACAAAATATCAATAATATGGGGCTAGGGCTGTAGTTTAGTGGTAAGAGTGTGTGCTTAGCATGTGTAAGGCACTGGATTTGACTTCCAACCATGAATAAAATAAATCAGTAATCCTCATACTTGTGAATGGGATAAAATGCACTATCCTCTCTGAAAATCGATGAATTAATGCAGAAAAATAAGTGGATTGTAAACAGGGTGAATCTGGGCAGATACGTGTTTCTCCAGACAGTGCTAAGCACTCACTTATTTAGAGTTTTCTTTCTTTTTCTGAAGCAAGATTAGGCTTTGCAACATAGCCATTGTTCCTTCTGGAAGACAGAGCAGTGTCTGCCCTGTAGTATGGACCCAAATCCTTATCTGTTTCTGTACCAAACAGTGTCAGGATTAGGGCAGGTAGTACATTTTGATATCTGTCCCTAACTCCCCCTGTTGATGGCTTCTTTTCTTTATTATAGGTGACCTCTGGGGGAACAGAAAGCATCCTGATGGCCTGCAAAGCTTATCGAGACCTGGCCTTAGAGAAAGGGATCAAAACTCCAGAAATGTATGTATCTGCCTCTCTGAGATTGTCCCTGTTGAGTGCTACTATTTGTCTGCTGGTGGCCCATTTCCTGCTGCCTCTCTTCTTCTAACAATCCAGTCTCCTCTCCCTCTCTCCTGGCTCCTCTCCCCGTCCTTTCACATTCAACAAAATTCTGTTACTGTTACATACTGTTCCCACTCCTGCAAGTTTGTGTGTGATATGTATTACGAGCAAGAATGACATCCTGTTTCCAAAAGTGACAGAGTTGATTCCGGTGGTTTGAATCCTATGGTTTTTAAGTTTTCTGAAGCCTAAGGAAAACTGTCTACTTATCTTAGTTCAGTGGAAGTTTCTCAAATGTTTCAGGCTGAATGTATTAGGGTGCTCCCTAGAAAAAATTCAATCTGAGGGCTATTCTGGAAGGAAAAATTATTTAAAAATCTGTTTGAGACTTACTCATGTATCTACCTGTGAACATAATTTTGGTGTTTAGTTATATATATATTTTTTCTATAGACTATCTCCTAATAAGAGTTTTCTGTCTTAAAGGGAACAGAGCAGTTGTGAGGGTGAGTGAGGAAAGTCAGAGAGCAAGTGTGTCTATGCACAGCTCCTCTTGCAACACTGTTTGACATGCTGCTTCCAAGAGTGAAGGAGAAGTAGAGATTTTAGTTTCTCATAGGCTCATGATCTTTCAGATTTGGGAGGGACAGTTGACCTGGTGCATCCCTGCCAGGAACCCTGTGTCCCTGGGGGAGCACAGGTCGGGAAGCTGCTTCTCCTTGAGGTGCCTTAGCATAGCCAGCCTTTAGAATGCTCCGCCTTGTCCTGCTCTTATCTAAGCCCCTTGTCACTGAATTCCTCCTGTCATGCCTAATTTGTGCTTTGATTCTCTCCCTTTGGAATTACTTCTGAGTTCTTTCTTTGGCCAGAAGGATTTCCTAACTAAATAGTGGGGAGAAGGTTTCTACAGAAAATGATCAGACTTCTTTTTGTTTACACTTAGAAAACAATGTGAATACTTCCAGTAATTTGAGGAAAAAATAATCAGAAGTTTACTTCTGATGAGTTAGTTGGCTGCTAACTGGGCCCTCTCTTGAACCCTGTCAGGTCTGAGTTTCATTATTCTCCTTTCCCCCCGACTTCTAGTGTGGCTCCCCAAAGTGCCCATGCCGCCTTTGACAAAGCTGCCAGTTATTTTGGGATGAAGATTGTTCGGGTTGGCCTGAATAAGATGATGGAGGTGGACGTGCGGGTGAGTGCTCTAGAGACATGGGGGCAGGATGTGCACCACTTTCCTTCCCAGTCACACATAGACAGCCCCACTGCAGAGTACCAGCAGCTGCCCCTGACCGTGGTGATGGACTGTGCTTCCATCTTTTCCTAGATCTGTGAATCTTAGAATATGACCAAGCCCCTAGGTTGGGACCTTAAAGACTTGCATTTTGCTTTCAGCACCTTCACTTTATTTTCCTTTCTCTGGATTTTACTTCTAACATGAAGTCAATGTGAATGAGCCACTCCAAGACTCAGCTGTGGTTTTGATTGGCCTGAATTAGTGCCATTGTCATTGTAGTAATTGTTTTTAAGCTTCACCTTGTGTGGAAGAACATTTCTAGCTGCAGAGTGCTGTCAGAATCACACTTGAGAACCTTGCGAGAGTCCAAGGGGTTGTGGAAGCTACTTTATTATTGTAGTCCACAGATGAGGAAATAGACTGTGAGGTTAAATGATTTACTATTGCTTAGTACATTGTGGGGCTGGGACTAAATTGGGGCTCTTTGCCTCTTACGTCGGTATTTCTTTTCACTTCTTATCTTGTACTCTGGACAGTTCCCTGAATAGCCCTCTCTGTCCCCCATGGTGGGAGGAAGTCTTTCCCCAGGCTGCAGCAGTGGAGGGGACACTGGTGCAAAACACTAAGCTGTGGCCCAGATTGCACCACAGCAGAAGAGAAGAGTAATTGTAGATTACTCTTTTTGCAGAAACATAGATTCCCACGTTTCTTGAAACTTTAAATCCCTAGGCAATGAGAAGAGCCATCTCCAGGAACACTGCTATGCTGGTCTGCTCTGCTCCACAGTTTCCTCACGGTGTGATAGATCCTATCTCCGAAGTGGCCAAGGTGATGAGATAATTGAGCTAATACGGTGGTCAGACTGATAATTTAAAATAGAATCAAATGGAGGGTTAGGGATGTAGCAGAGTGGAAGAGGACTTGCCTAGATGTGGGGCCCTGGGTCCAATCCCCAGTACTACAAGGAAAATAAAAAAGAAAAAAGAAAAGCAGATGATATAAAAATAGAATCTAATGGTGCAATACTTATCGGACAGAAGTGGTTTTGATTTTAGGTTTAAGCACAGTGGTGATGAATTGCTCTCATCAGCCCCTAGGGTAAGCCCTGCAGCCCTGTTTGGGACCTCTGAAAGTCATTAGTTTATGCTTTGGGGAGTGTAATTAATACATGACCAAGGTGTCTCTTTAAACTAGATATTCTGAAATAGTGTTGACTTTTAGATTTAGATCAGAAAGTAATCTGCATTTAGGAACATGGACACCATCGACTGAAGGCTAAATACAATTGAAAGATAACTGTGTTAGAAATATAAAAAATAGCCAGGTTTGACCACAGGGGAGACATGGTACAGGATGGCTGTACCTTCATAGCCCACCTTTCCACCCATGTCCTACAAAGTTTTTATTATAGGGTTATAATGAAATTCTCTGATATTCTTTGTTTTTTGGAACCAGCTGGCTGTCAAGTACAAAATACCTCTTCATGTAGATGCGTGTCTGGGAGGCTTTCTCATCGTCTTTATGGAGAAAGCAGGATACCCACTGGAGAAACCATTTGATTTCCGGGTGAAAGGTGTGACCAGCATTTCAGCTGATACCCACAAGGTGAGTTAGGGAGGAAATCAAATACTGACAGTTGCTTATTTTGACTGTTATCTATAAAATAAATTGGCTAATGCATTAGTTTGTCCTCTTAACATAAAATTAAATCTGGCTCTTTGCTCTCATCTTGTCAACCATTCAGGTGATGGGATTGTAGTGGTACAGGTGGTAAGCCATACTGGAAAGGATCTGGTGTCTTTGCCTCACAGTGGCTAAGAGACTTTCCCTGTCACTCACTGCATGTAACCAGGACATGCCAGCTCAGTGGCCATTGTAACAGGGTTCACTGAAGCTTTGAGGCTACTTGAGGTGGTGGTGGAGTTGGCGAGTGTTGATCCTGGAGTTCCTTAGCAGGTGGCTGTTGATGCTGCAGCTCCTGTGCTGGGGCCCTGGACTGAGTACTGTGCATGACTGGGATGCACTGATGGGAGAATCCTTGGGGAAGAGGGTGCCTGTGTGCTCAGGTGTTTGGCTTATGATGTTTGAAATGCCTATGCCTGTGCTGTTGGTGAGCCGAGGTGAAGTTGAGATCAGCTGGCCATTCTTGACAGTGTATCCAGATGTAGGAGTATTCAGCCTCAGGAAGCTGAGCCTTGTTGAGAGTGCATGTTCAGAGCTTGTTTTAAATTAAGAAGATTTAATAACATAGGGAGATTTGTTTTTCAAACTCTAAATGATCTGCAGTCAGTTTTCAATCAAGATCTGTCTTGCCTTACCACACCAGCTGCTTCTGGGTCCCTGCTTCTTCACCATGCATTTTTGGGTGGGTCTGGGGATGAAATTGGTTCCATATTATCTTCAGTAAGGGTTAATTAGGAGGGCACATTTTCTATTAGGAAACCAGTTACACAGTGTATGTCATGCTGGATTAAGTACCTTTTAGATTCTGAGCACCACAATGTTCTTAAAAAGAAATATAATATTAAGCAAAAAAAGATGGGAAAGTGGTCAGATTGTGATTTTAGTTGCTCCGAGTGACTTCATGCTTTCCTAGTTTCCAGTAGAAATTCATCCTTGTTTCCATCCTGATGTATCATCCAGAGAAAGTTTTTAAATAAGGAAAACCCGATGCTAGGCTCGAAAGGAAACCCATCAACTGAGCGAGGCACCATTCTTCCCTGGCTTCAGTTCCTCACCCCTCACTCACAGAGAGAATCTGAGCTCCACCCATTAAGTTCCTTCTACCTTTCAACGCTCTAAGTGTGAACCCTTAGTGTGAGTGCCGAACATCGCCGTGCCTGGTGCTCAGGGCCAGTGCTGCTGGGCAGAGCCACTCTGACATGTCACTTTCTCTCCTCAGTACGGCTACGCCCCCAAAGGCTCGTCAGTGTTGTTGTACAGTGACAAGAAGTACAGGAGCTACCAGTTCTTCATTGGCACAGATTGGCAGGGTGGCATCTATGCTTCCCCAAGCATCGCTGGCTCACGGCCTGGTGGCATCATTGCGGCCTGTTGGGCAGCCCTGATGCACTTCGGTGAGAACGGCTATGTTGAAGCTACCAAACAGATCATCAAAACCGCTCGCTTCCTCAAGTCAGAGTATGTGTGGAGGATGGGGACTCTGCTTTGCCTCTTGCTCTTTCTGCTAGTTGGCTTAAGGCATCTGCTTAGCCATGCCCTCATAGCCTGACCCCTTTGACATCTCCTGGGAGATCTGGGTAGAAGGACAGTAGCTCAGGTGTCAGTGCTGGCGGGAGGAGATGCTTCCCTTCTCTGCTGTGACTTGGGAGTAGGTAGAGGGATAGAAGCCAATGGTTCTGATTCTTTAGGTCTAGATGGAGTTTGGATTTGGGATTTGTAGTGTTCTGCCTGTGATTCTGGTCTTCTAAGAAACACTGATCCCAGCCTAGCTGCTTTAGTGTTAGAAGATGAGAAGACCAAAGCCCCAGAAGGTAGACTGTGTTATAGGGAAGGCTTTGGATGATGGAGAGATGATAGCCAAAGGACGTATGTGGCTGAATTTCCTTTTTGTTTGCTTATTTTCAGACTGGAGAATATCAAAGGCATCTTCGTTTTTGGAAATCCTCAGCTGTCAGTCATTGCTCTGGGCTCTCATGATTTTGACATCTACCGACTGTCTAATTTGATGACTGCCAAGGGGTGGAACTTGAACCAGTTGCAGTTCCCACCCAGGTATGCTTGAAGAAGCCTCTTTTCCCTCCTTCACTCCATGGCTTTTGAAGAACTTGGGTAGCAAGGTAACCTGATGCACAGTTTGACTGCTAGAGCCTAGCATTTTCTTGGTGACCTCATTATCTGTAGGATTTCTGTCTCACCACATGCAATTTAATTAGGCATTAAGAGATTTGCTGTCGATTTTAGCAGAATCAGGTAGCAGCCACCTGAGACAAGTGGTCAGCTATGAGAACCACCCCCCACTCTCTCTCAAGTCACTATACTTTCTGATCTCTTTTGTATACAGTCATGAGATTGCTAATAAAATACTTGTGGCCTGGTAATATTTACCTCACAACCCTCTAGAAAGGTCTCTGATCATCCAGGCCTGCCCCTGTGTTCTTCGTATGCTTTTCTAACCTGTCTTTCACGATACCCTTAGGTCCTTTGCTCCAGCTGAATGGGTCTGCTCAGTGTCCTTTACATAGAGCCTGCCTTTCGTGGATGGCTGCCATTGCCAGCCCTATCTCCTTTTTTTTCTTCTGGTACTGGAAATTGAACCGAGGGCCTCTCAAAGGCTGGGCAAGTGCTCTACCACTGAGCCATACCCAGCCTTTTCCTCTTCATAATTCTGCCCTTATCCTCCCTTCAGGGTGAAAGAGTTTCCTCATTGCCCTGGAGTCCTTTGAGACCCAAGCCACATGGTCCTTTCCCTATGAAGGCTTTTCATCTAAAATAAAGCATCCCACTGGTGGTTCTGGGGTTGGAGGAATCATGATGGACAGCTTGAAGGGAGGGGTGGCACAGGACAAGCAGCTGTGTTCATTCTCTTAGGATGGTTCTTGACTCTGCCAAGAAGCCCCGATGCCAGCCTATGCTCGACAACCCAAGGATTTGAGAGCCCTGACCCATAGGCCTGGGAACAATGGGAAGAGGCAACCAGTCAATTCCTGTATTGGGAAATGCTTTATTTTAGAGCATATTTTTCTTTTTTCAAGGTTTATCTCTCTCTTTTTCTCTTCCCATAGTATTCATTTCTGCATCACATTAGTACATACCCGRAAGCGAGTAGCAATCCAGTTCCTAAAGGACGTCCGAGAATCTGTCACCCAAATCATGAAGAATCCTAAAGCCAAGACCACGGGAATGGTGAGGACACATGGAGATTTTTTTCCCTCCTTGGAAGGTTTTGGCGTTGGTGTGGGGGTCTGAAAGAATCAGACACTCGGGAGTGTGTTCCTGTCTCTGTCCCTTTTCACAAACTTCTTGTTAGTTAATCGTTGTGGATGATCTCTCCCTGCCCATTCCCAGTGTTGTCTGGGAGTCTCAACTGACATATATTACCTACAAAGCTTCTATAATTGTGGATTAGAAAGTGCTGTACAAAAGCAGGTGAAAACAGTGTCCATTTGAAAAAATAATTTGACACAGAAAAGTCAACAGACACATTTTCTCTGGAGTTTTTTTTAACAGCAAATCCTGTAGAATAGTTCCTTTATGCAGAAAGGCAGACGGGAAAATACCTTTGCATAGTACACTGTGCCAGCTGTTTATATGATAGAATGAGCCTGAGTCAGGAAGGTCAGTGGGTGCACATGGAGAGCTAGGACTGTGGGAGCAGGGATCATAACCACAGTTTCATTCTTGTTTCTTATTCGTCACCACTAATAACGTATCCTTGATTGGATTTATAGGGTGCCATTTATGGCATGGCCCAGGCAACTGTTGACAGGAATCTGGTTGCGGAATTGTCCTCAGTCTTCTTGGACAGCCTGTATAGTACGGACGCTGTGACCAAGGGCAGCCAAATGAATGGTTCTCCAAAACCCCGCTGAGCACGGACCCTTTCCAGTCCCAAGGAGCGTCTGGTCTTTAGAAGGTTCTCGGGGGATGGAACAGGCTGCGTGCAACTTTGACATTTGTTCCTGCTCCATAAAGCACCACGAGGTAGACCATGAGACAGCTTGCACCTCAGGATGTTGGTTCCTCTTGTTACTTTTTAATGATTTTTAATTTGAAGACCCCAGAGGATTCTACTGCATAATGATTCTTCCTTTGTCATAAATGTTACCCTAGGAATTGTTTTAACTTTTTCCTTCTCTAACTTCTCAGCTTTCGTCTTTGCTCAGTTCTTATGTGGTGGCTCTGGCCTGTCTTGATTCTATAGGGAAGCTGTAATATAGCAAAAGGGTTTCCTTGTTACCTAGGTAGATGTTTTGGCTAGCTAGGCAGCACAGAGTATGTAACAGGTATTTCCTTGGATGGGTGTTAGGTACATTCTAGGTAGGAGTCTCTTGCAGCCCTCTGCTCAAGAGTATTTCAGTTATCTTTCAAAATCTCTTTCATTGCAGCTTGTTCTGTTTTTCTAGGACACAGATTGGCCAGGTTGCTGTTCCCTGTTGTGCAGCACTGGAGTGGTTGACCACGTCTGCTCCATTGCCCATGGCAGGGTATGGAGTGCTCCATTGTCCTCTTGTGTGCTGACAGGCCCTATGAAATGTTGGTTGTCGCCATCTTTGGAGATGCTTATTTGAAATGATGTGCCCATGGGTTTGTTACTGTTTCCCTAGAGTAAGAAGAGAATGGTTTCCAGAGCATCTAGGGCTTTCTGGTTGTGGTGCTGCCTCCCTGCATTGGCAATGGCCAGAGTATACTTGAGTCCTTTCAGTGATGAGCAAAAACCAAATGGTTTTCTATACTTCCCTGAATATCAGCATAGGTGAGCATCCAGGTTCCAATATGGGTCACCAAAGTTAGTGGTGGTTCTGCCTCGCACTAAGGGATTCTGTCTGCTGAAGGAAAGCTCAGAGCACCTCCACAAGTTGCCTTGACTTACCCTAGGTGGGTGTGGAAGGGCGTGGAGAACATTTCCTCTCTCCACATCTTCCTGCCTCTTCCTCTTTGATTTACTTTCCAAAGGTACTAGGCAATTTAGCCTCAGGTACTGGATGCTCTGCAGCCCTGGCTAAAAGGGAGCAGCAGGGGAACAACAAACATTTTGGAATAGGAATGTACGACTTCCAGCAGCCATTATAGTCTAGGGCCTGGAGTTCCTCCAGGAGACTAATTGCTCAGGGTGTGCAGGGGGAAAGAGCCAATCCTGCGCTCACTTCCTTCTTTTCTCCCTTTTTTGGGGCCCTGATCTAGGTTGAGACACTGTCCTTCTCTAGTGACATTATACCATGTGCCTTTCTCCCCAGCAGTGAGCTCTTCCTGACCCAGTCCTAGGGGAAGTGGACCAGTCTTAGAAGTCCTTGTTCTGGTGGCAAGAATTTAGGAACAAGTCCAGAGAAACTTCACTCTGTTCCCTCCCCTTCTCAGGGACTTGTRCCTCCCAGGCTTCTGTCCTCAAGTTGCCCTCGAGTTCCTTAGCACGTCTGTCACAGGTGTTTTTTAGCACTGTACTTTTCACCCAGTAACTGTGACAAGCTGGCCACATCATTGCAGGGCTGGTGGTGTGAGTGTGTGCTCACGTGCTTGCTTCCCTCCTGTTTGCTCTGCAGTGCGTTGTGGGGTTCAAGAGCGGTTGATGTACTTTTGTGTGTGTCAGGAAGAGGCTGAGATCTTTAGGACGTGGGAGTCACACGCTTCCTCCTACTTGCTGAACTGATGGGCACTTCCTTGAGAGAGTAACTGTGGTTGGAGCCAAGAATTGTCCCARGCCTCCAGGCATCATGTTGGAGGTGGTCCAGGGACTCGGGGCCACCCAACAGGCTGCACCATGGCTTGCTAGCTGCTAAAAAGGAGAAGCATTCCCTTTCTGTTTCCCCAGGACCAGACCCTGAGCCACTCACATCCTCTGTACTGTGACAGCACTGGTGCTGGGGGCGGTGGTGGTTTTCAAAGGGACCGACTGTAACCACTTTAATTTATGATTAAGAGCCTTAGTTTGACTTAACACTTGTGTAGGCTTTCATTTTGTGTAGATTTGTGTGTGGGGTGTGTGTGTGTGTGTGTGCACATAATTCCTAGTATGTGGCTCAGGTGAGTAGGGTATCTATTAATGGTATCATGTTGCTAACAGATGTCACTTTGGCTTCTGCAAAAACTATACTGTCTTGTTTCTGCATTAGAAGTAAGTAGTCCTGTGAAAATACTGCCACGTCACTTTTAATATTACCAATTTTATACTTGGAAAATGGTACTTGCCTCTTTTAAATCTTTTTTGTCTTCTCTAACCTCCCCCCTCTTCAAAAATATGCTCCCTTCCTAATTGCAGCAATAATCTCTTTAAAAGAAATTAAACAATTAAATGTCCCACTGTGGATGGTTGCATTCATTTATTTACTGGGGTGCACACAAACCAGATCATCCATGCCCTGATGGTAGCGCTCCAATGGSCTGTGGTGAGGGATCGCCCCCTGGTGGTGAATTGTCATGTGGCTGCTAATTGGCAGAGCCAAGGGACACAAGCTAGCAGCAGTTGGGCTGGTGTCTAGGAGCTTCAGTAGGTAGCTGATTGGTCTCTCTACACCAGAACTGGTAGGCACACCTGTTCTGGGAGTCCTGGAGGACAGGACATCAGTTCCCCAGGACCAGTGCTATCTTCTGTTTCCTGCCATCTTCATCTACTCTACTTGCCATGTACCAAGGAATAAGCCACCTGGATGGTCTTCGGCCAGCTGGGCCACACAGCTCTATCTGACCAAAGGACATGTCATGGCTCTGAGCCTGGCATTTGGTCTTGGGGCTGACAGAGCTCTGGYGATCTTCACATGTCACTACTGGGCATCTTGTTCCATTCTGAAAGAGGAAGAGGAGGCTTCCCAAGGGCTGGTCAGGATCCAAGGCTGTCTTCGGGTAGCCTAGCTTTCCATTCTGGTTTTCATACCATTCACGCTTTTCCAGAATGAAGGTAAGGAGTGCTGGCTTTGTTGTAGCTACTGTCAAATGGCCTGGTCCCCTGAGCCGCATATAAACCCTAAGGAGAGGCCAGGCTATGCTTGCAGCCGGGGCCTGGCCCATCTAACAGGTAGTGACTGGGAGGCCTGGCACTGCCTCTGTAGCTCTAGACCCCTTTGCCTTCTCTGTAGGGTTCTTGGAGGCACCAAACAGCTTCTAGCTGGTCCCAACAGTGACAGAAATAATGACAGGCCATAGCCTAGGCAGGCAGAAGGCTTTAATAGCCCTTTTTTGACTTGGGGTTTTAATGGCCTTAGTTTTCACTTGTACTTTTGTCCTTGACATCATCTTTTCTCTCTTTAATATCCCCTCTTATTTTCAATTATTGGGATTAGTTTTAGAATAAACCTGTGTTTCTGAAAAGTGTTGCCTGTGTCTTTGTCCCACACAAAGTTTCCTCATACAAATAGAGGGCTGCATGGGTGTCAATTTTTTGACTCTTGATCCATGATAAAAGCAGAGGCACAGTCCACAACTCCATGTCTGGTGTCTTCTGTCCCGTAATCCTCTGTCATCAGATATAAGAGACCACTGTCTGAATCTTGCTGGTCTTGATGTTAAGCATTGCAGAGGAATCACCATCCACATGGGTCTTGATTGTCTTTTACAGCATGTAGGCTAGGAAAGGGTCCTGCTAGCCCTCTTTAGACAGTAAGCTTATTTCTCAGCCACCAACCTCTGCCTCTTTTGTGGTCCTGGGGTTTGACTCATCTTGACTGCCTGAGTTGTGATCTTGCAGGATGCCTGCTCCTAATGACTCTGGCATTTGCCAGGCATCTCAGGGCCCAGGCAGTGCTTCAGGTTGGCACCACAGGTGAGCGATCCTGGGAGAGAGCTTCCCTGTCTGTCTCACAGCACATGCAAGGTGGGGGTCTATGTGGCATGCACACTGGGGTGAAGGTGAGTCTGTTCTKACTGTCCCCTTCCCAGTCATGGTACATCTGCAGACTATTCTGTCCTGGAGTTACTACTGGGGACCAGTCCTGTGCAAATCAGCCCTTAACTGACTCCTAAACCACAGCTCATTTCCTGTCTTATAGAATAAAAGCAGGTGAGCCCTGAGACCTTGGCTAAGATTTCAAGAAATGCAAAGGTCATCAGGATTAGGAGCTCGCCTTTGGTGTTACAGGTCAGTATATGAGGTTAAAACAGCCAGTATACACACAGAGAAGGAAGGGACTTGAGATCAAGGAGGAACTGACTAGAGATCAGCAAGTCCCAAGATCTGTGGTTGGCAAGCTGGAGCCCCAGGAGACCTGAGGTGCAGCCTCAGTCCAGAGGCCAGCAGGCTTGAGACCCATGGAGCAAGGACTGTTCAGTTTGAATCTGAAAGCAGGAAAAGACCAATGGCCCATCTCAAGGCAGACGGGCAAGTGTTCTCTGTTTGGAAGTGGGCCAGCCCTTTTGCTCTATGTCAGCCTTCTGCCTTAGGGAGGGCACTCTGCTGTACTCAATACCAACACACAAATCTCATCCAAAACATCAACACTGATACACCCAGAATAATAATTGACCCAAGGTCTGGGCACCCCATGGCCCAGCCAAGTTGACACATAAAATCAGTCATGACTGCAAGAAGAAGACAGCATCGTCCCAGACGGTCTAGATGGAGGTCCTATGCCCTATTCATATTTACCTGTGTTCAAGATGCCCCCTTAGCCATCTCTGCCTCTCAGGAACCCTCCTTGGGTCTTTGACTCCGAATCATCCTTGTCACCATTAGTCACTGCTTATTTCTTATCCTGACATTTAGCCTTAACCTAGTTTTCCTCTGCCTAGTCGATAATCTTCCTGATTGAGTCCCCTACATGATAATGAACCTGAAGTTGCCTGGTGTGTGCAAGGCCCTGGTTCCATCCTCAGTAGGACCACATGATGCATTAGATTTTATTAGAAGAATAAAAACACATGTGTTTCCTAAGATAGGATTTTATTTCACCCTGTGTCACAGCTGCTTGGGAAACGGATTTGGGATCAAGACACATCCTGGGAAGAAAATCACTATTGTTGCTGAGAACCTGCCAGGAAAGGAAGGGCTCACTCTAATGTAACAGCCCAAGGATGAAGAGTGGCAGAGGGGAAGGGGCTCAGTTCCTGGTGTTGGCAGTGACGCTGCCATCTTCCCACAACATGGACTCCGCCCCTACATGGAGGCAAGAAGGGTGGACACAGGAGAGCCAATTTCAGCAGTCTCAGGGACCAAGGACTCCCTACCTGGATTCCCAGTTCAGTCACCCGCCCTTCCCCTGAAGAATGCAAAGAAGGGCAGGGTCTATGTCATGGACACTGCTACTTGTTCAATGAAGCTGGCCAGATTTATGTCCCGTTCTGAAAGGCCCGCACATTCATGGGTGCTCAGGGTGATGTGCACCTGAAACAAACAAACAGAAGTTCAGGGCAACTCCACTGACTTCACCTAAGAGTAGGAGACTCACTAACTTGGGCTCAGCCTCACTAAGCGCTCCAGAACAGCAGCTGGTCACTGCCATCTTTCCTGGGTCCCGGTGCCCTGACAGGTCTGTGACAGCAGTGCAAAGCCATCTTGTACTGCACCTCTCCTTAATGTTTTCCAAAAACAATGGTGACTTCAACTACAGAATAAAAATTTTACACCCAGATGTCAAGAGCAACCTAAAAGCTAAAGGCAGAACCCAAACTACTGCTGGCTCCTAAACTACCCATTTACAAAGAGCCTCTTCCATCCTTAATGTTTTTAAACAGGCCAGCAGAGTTCTTGGCACATGCTAGGTATGACTATTGACTATCCAATTGGTTAAGCAGACAGATCTGTTTGTTATGCATGGGGATTCTCAGTTCAAATTTATTACTTTTTTATTCTTCTATCCCCCCAGAAAGATTAAAACCACGTGGAGCTATTAATAATTATGCTTGATTCCCACAGCCTTTCCTTTCTTGGGTTTTGCCTTATCGATATCTACTTTTACCACAAGTATCTCAAAGTGTTTTAATTTGAATTCCTTAATTTGTAGTGAGACTGACCACTTATTGTTGATTCTAGGAAGGAGATAGATTGAATGGACAGTCAACCTGTGGTGGGGGGCAGAGTCTAGTTCAAGGGAGAGCCTTCAGAAAGCGCCCAAGTGCTCAGATGTGGATGGAGACAGAGCACAACACAGGCACACAACCTTGCTCACCTTGTTGTACATGTTAAACCACTCAGGATGGTGGTCCAGCTTCTCTGCCTGCAGGGCCACTCTGGTCATGAAGCCAAAAGCCTATTTAAGTGAAGTGAAACCCAGGTTAGCGCTCTAAGAGAAGGGACTCCTGGGCACCTTTTACTGGTCGATTGATACAGGAGGCTGGACTAGCTTCCCTTAACTCTAATCATTTCCCATGACAACCTGCCCCTGCTCTGAGATCTGACTTCCAGGTTGTCTCTCTATAGCAGGAAGAAGGTCTTTTACTAGGATCCCTAACAAGTTCAAGAGGTTAAAGTCTTAGTCTTTTGACTATGAAAACATCCTCAGATGTATCTCTGTTTGCTACTTGGGCTGTCTTTTCTGAGGACTGTTCCAGGTAGGGAGAGTCCAAGACCCACATTCCTACTCTGTGATCCCTGAGGACGCCACTTTCCAAGTTATTCAAGGAAATGAATTTCCCCACCAGTGGTGCCTGAATAAACYGGATTAGTGTGTCTGGCACTGTAGGACTTGAAGGGAGGGTCAGGTGTGGCCCACCAGCCCCAGAATGGGCAAACCCTCCCACCCTGGACACACCCTATTGAAGTCTTTGAAATGGAACTGCTTGAAGATGGCATCTCGGCCTTCCATCTCATTCCACCCCACAGCCCTCAGGTTTGGCAGCAGCTGGTCTCTCTCCTCAGCACTTAGCCTGTGTGCTTTGCCAGCCTAGAAGAGGAAGAGAGCAGAGGCCCAAGGGCATTTCTTTCATAGGTCAAAAGAGAGGGCCCCAGACCACAGGGAACTTAGCCAGCCTGTGCTGGCTGCTCTGGACAYGGATGACCAAAGGGCAGCAGCTCTCCAGGCAACAGACCAGCAGGACTTGAGAGGGGTGCTTCACCCAGGAGGTGGGGTCTGGGCTTACTCACTGATAGGCTCTTGGGTGTTGAGTTTTACACTCCCCTCAGAGAGAGATCTCAAAGGAAATGTAATGCCAATCATAGGACAAAGCAGCACTCCCCCCTCCAACCCACCAAGTCCCCAAGCCCCCCAGCTGTGTGGATTATATCTATGATGAGGAGTAAAAGCAAAATCCAGCCCAGATCTCACACAAGGTTCAGGAAAAGGGCACCAACTATCAGGCCTCCCTTTATCAATCTTCCTTTTTTTTTTTTTTTTTTTTTGATACCAAGGATTGAACCCAGGGACGCTCAACC